AGATTATATAAGATATCCACCACTCTATGAAACTTCCATCGGCTTGATTGTCTAGACATTATTCTTCTTTTCATACTTAATGTTGCATCAGTTGAGTTTGATCTATTAAGTCGTGCTTAGAATATCAATCTCTAGCCTTCCTTCTGGGTGTCGATTAGGGTAGTATCGGAGTTTCAGCCAATCTTATCTGGTTTAACTACATTTGCTCTATATGCTTCGTTGACATGTTAAATCTGCCCTTTATGTCAAGATATTATTGCATCTACGTATATTAGGCTTCTGTTTGGTATATTCTGCTTGTTTTAATATATTAGGCTTCTGTTTTGTATCGGAATATTAGTTGATACATGCTAGGTCTATCTAATCGGCTATGCTGTAAACATATATAGTTTTGTCGTTAATATATATTTCGATCTAAGTGATTTATACTGTCTCGGCATGGCGACCGATCTATCCCAATCACTTGATTTAAGTATATATCGATATAAGAATTATATATTGTTAATATCTACAGCCGATCGAATAGATTTAGTTCTTTATTATATATTTCCAACCGCCGATCGATTTACATATGACATCGGCTCAGAGATAAATGATATGTCATCGGCACCTAGCCGATATTTCAAGATGAAGTTGATGAAGCAGCTCAATATGCCTTGTTTCAACAGTTTGGAGTTTTGGCGGATATATTGCAAAATTTGATCAAGAGAACAGTTGATGAGTTAATTGTTCAGAGATGCCAGCTCGGGGGGCAGATTGAAGAACAACAACAATATTAGCTCAGGGGGCAAGCACGTCAGTATCAGCTTATGAAAGCCGATTGCAAGAAGCAAAAGAATATTGGTTTTGGAGTTATCAAGACAAGAAATTTTGAAGCATGAATTCTCATACTCCAAAACTGGGGGGCATGTGTTAACAATGAAATTTGGTAAATCATGCATCGGCTGAAGCTGATTTGGAAGGAAATCGACAATCACAGAAACAGAGCAAGAATCGGCTTCGAACTGCGTCGGCTACGGTGTGATCGGCTGATACCGAATCGGACAAGAGAAACCGATGTAGCCGATTCGAACAAAGTGATGTTGGAATCACTATTTGATTTGGTTGGTGTGCTTCATGAGGATTGCCACGTACGGATTGGGTCCGAAGAAGGCAATTGTATCTATTAATTAGGAATAGTTTGTTAGTTTCCTTTTATCTTTAGGAAAGTGTGTTTAGTGTCCGATTAGGACTTTATGTTTTCCTTTTATCTTTTAGGAAAGTTTCTTTCTTGTCCTACAAGGACTAGTATCTACCCATGGGTATAAATATGTACACCCGGGGTCATTGTAATCTATCGCTACGATCAATACAATTCGGTTCATCGCCACATTTTACCTTTTCTACTTTATTTTATCGTCCGGCGGGACTTGGCACCTGACGCGGGGCTGCATCGGTGTTTGATCTCCGGCTAAGGGGTAAGTCCAATGTTCCGCCGGCCCAGGCAATTGTATCATTTACGTCGGTGTCGTTCAATGCTGCATCAGTACATTCGACCTCTTGGATTGCTCTGATTTGGATGGTATATTTGCCTACCTATTTATCATATGTCTCTGTTAATCTAGTCTTAGCATATCAATTTAGCTCTATCGGCTGCTTCTCGTTTTAGGGTTTCTGCCGGTATCAGCTAAATTGTGTTGCTAGATTAGATTAGCTTAGGCATCTACCACCCTGAAAAATCAGTCAACGGCTTGATTGTCTAGATAGTATGTTTCTTTTCATACTTAGTGCTGCATCAGTTAAGTTTGATCTACTAAGTCGTGCTTAGAACCATAATCTCTAGCCTGCTTCTTGATTGTCAATAAGGGTTTCATCGGGGTTTGAGCCGGTGAGTTATCTGGACGTTGCATCGGCTCATAAGGATTGCATATACATATAAGTTGGATTGAGCCGATGACAACAAAGGTTTCACTGTTTAATCTAATCTTGCGGATTTCATGACATCGGACCTCCAGCCGATGTGTGTTTTAACCTTCGGATCAATGCTTATTTATCATATCATTATTTGCCGGTTGGTTTATATTGTTATTTTATTACATCATCATCAGCCGATTGCCTTTATATCATTATCTACTTTGGACATATAGCCGATTGCTTAAACCCTATTGCTATCAGCTGGTATCGGCATCGGCTATTATCGGCTATCGGCTGGAACTACTCCATCGGCTTGCCAGCCGATCGGCTGTTTTGATCTACTATATGCATATCTTGTCAGTTGCAGGATCAAACTGACTGGCACGCCCGCACCTCACCAAGATTTGGACCTGCACTGGAGCTAAGCAGATCTCCCAGGCCGATGTGTTCGATTTTTTGTCAACACACGGGCATGACCTAAGGCATCGAATCTTACTGCCAACACATCCATCACAGCCAAGTCGCCGGGTGATCTAGTTGAACCAACTCAACTACGATCTCATCGGTATCATCGAGTTCCATTATTCCCTTTGTAATCTATGACTTCCATCATATAATCCCATACCAACTGGATTAGGGCTATTACCTGTCAAGGGGCCTGAACCAGTATAATCCTTGTCTTCTATTTGCTTGATGTCGTATGACGTAGATCCTTGTACCAGCGTACCCCAATATCCTCTATATCTGGTCTACGGGCAGGTTTGACAGGAGAGATTTTAATCTTTTTAACCATGGCATATAAGATTAACAACTGGTCATTGCGGATTGGCCTCACTTCTTCCCGAGGCAATAGAGTAAAAGTCAACCATTTGTGTATCAGACGCAATGTGGTATTCTGAATGCCGCTGACTCGCGCTTCCCTATATACAAATTCTCAAGTAATACGTTGCCAGAAGTCTGTTATGTTAAAACCTGAAGTCACGGATTCCAAGTGAACCGAAATACGTTGCCAGAAGTCTGTTATGTTAAAACCTGAAGTCACGGATTCCAAGTCAACCGAGCATCTTCTGTTGAATCCCAGATGACTAACAAGAACCTGTTTGGTACAGCTCCAACTCCTAAATTTAGCTCCAGGAGTTGAGTCTGTAGTAGAGTTGTGGAGCTGCCTAAACCCAGCTCCACAACTATAGTTCATTTTGTGATAGATCTCCCCCCAGCTCTACTCTCAGTTTTGGTGGAGCTGAAACTATTTGGCTGTCGTAGGCTCTCCGGACCTTCCATTATAATTGAGAGATGAAGTGAATAATTCAAGTCATCGAACAAGCATAATGAAATATCCGATGCCTCGAGAGAGGAATATTGTAGACATTGCTGGGCCTTTAGCCTGCCAGTCAACTTCAGCCTGAGATGTGCCCGTCAAACCACTCGAAAGCGGCGACCATATGTGTTAAATATTCAGGAGACTTGACAAAAATGGCTAAAGATCTGTAACATCTCAAATATTCTTAACTCATACTCATGTGAATCTAGTTCGATGTGCACTAGATTCACACTTTCATCAAAAGCATGGTTATACATAGCAAACATAAATAAGATGAAAACGATTATAAACTACATCTACTTTAGTTACACCAGCCGACCGGCCAAATAAATAATAGAACAGCGGAAGCTTGTCTACCCAATGCACACCGACTAGGGGTTTACCCCATTAAGTTTAAGTCTTAGAAGAAGCAGTCGATTACCCGCATCACTCAAAGACTAAGTCTAAACCTACAAACAAAAGGTTAATTCAACAGCAAGAGTCAGTACATTATTAGAAATAATGTACTGGCAAGCACCAAGACAAGCCTAACACTCTACTTGCAAGGCATATAATCAAGGAAGGCATGATATGTTTCTTTTTAGCATAAAAAAGTTTTATTTGCATAAAACATTTCCAAATCAGATTTGCTTTCAAATAAATTTTACCAAGCAAGTACTTGACATATTGGGCATCAAAGTAGTCATTAATCATGTATAAATATACACCTCATTGCCATCCATGGCACCAAGGAGATCATTCTCAAATCTCATCACATTTTCAAGTTAAATTTCAGCATTTAGAAGAATAAACACAAGTCTATATTCAATACATATCCACATGCCGCTCATGACCATGAGCACGGCTAATCGATTAATTTTAACTCTGCAGAGTTTGTACACTTTACCCAAATGATACGAAATAATAATCATGCAAGAGCATGACACGCGATACATAAGTACCCGATTTATTACCCGCAACAAAGCTTTTCTAAAATTCCTGATTTAGCCTTACACCAGCACGATACGTGTTCCTCCATCCTAGTCATACTGGAAATATGACCTAGAACCGTTAAGTGGCAGGCCCACGCCTTAAACTTAATGCCGTGGTGGCGGACACAACGGGAACCCACCTCGTGGCACAATACCGTTGTATTGGACACGCTTAGTCACCTAAACTACCACTTCGGGGTAAATAGGAAGCTCCTCTGAATTATACGAACTCATACACACCGGCGTACCAGAATGTAAGGATAAACCATAAATAATTTACTAAGCTTGGGCTATCCCATACTAGCACATGTAGTTGTACTATATACAAAATAAACTGACATTGAGTGAAGTCCTTAGGTCGGTTTGGGCACACTCTCCCCCTATCGGTACACAACTAATCACCATATGTGCACCACTTGAGGCCCAAACCTAAAATCCATGTTTTCCACCATTTTATTTATCAAAATCACAAGTATTAAAGTTCTGTCCAGATTATTTAAAAATCAATTTTCATGTTTGTAATGAGCCCATAATGACAAGGAAGACAATTCTAAGCATGGCTAAACATTATAGTAACCTACTGTCACCAAAACTCATATATAAAGTGGTATAGTCATATTGTTACTAAGGTTAGGAATGAGGGATATGGATATATGTGGAGTTAAGGTGATAATGCAAGTAGTAGTAGTTTGTCTAACAAGTTTAACAAGATTTTAATTTATTAGTGTGCAATCGACATGCAAGATTTGCATACATTTTCAATAACCTCCAAAACATAAGTTCAAAGTGATCAAAGAGGGGGAGGTGGGACTTGCCTTGAAACTGGAAAATGTCAGCACCTAATTCACTTCTTCACCGATTAAGCAATTATCTATATAAAGTACACGCTATACAATTAAACACCGAAATATGCGAAAAATCTAAAATGCTCTAAAATGCATGATTTGTGCACAGTGGATAGGTACTGGTCTAAGATGAATTTAGATGAAAGAATTTCTATTTTATCTCTTTTTATTTGGGAGTTATGAATTTTAGAAGTTTGCTCGGTATAGTATAGAATTTACTTAGGTACTATTGTGAAATACTGTTGTAAGGTGATTCTTATTAAGTTTATGTTTGCTGGGGTAAATATATGTGTTTTCTAAGACCAACACATTTGGTTTCATAAGTTTTGGAGTTAATGTGAATTCTTTATGTATTTTAAAAGTTATAACGTGTTATAGGTGTATAGTGTTGTATAGGTTCATGTCTTTAGAGGTTTAGGTCCAGAACTTGCCTCATCTAGCTAGTGATAAATAAAATGAGTATTTTAGTTAACTAATCTAACCTTAGTTCATAAGCTTATGGTTTTTATTATCATGGTTCATATTTTTATAAACTAGGGGAGCTAAGTTCTTCTAAGTTTTGGTGTATGGGGATGGAACTATGGCTCCACTGGTCCTAACAAGTTTTATTTGGATTTATTTGGAGCTACCATGCATATATTATACTTATTCATATGTATTGTTTAACCACTACTATGTGTTTAGTACCTATTCTACCAAATTATGGTTTAGAGCTATGGTCTGTACAGAGGGTGCTATAATTCACTCTACTAGGTTGAAGTATATTACTTGCTGGTTCTATAGAAATTTGGTTCACTTCATTTAGACTATAGATGAATTTTCTACAAATGTTACAATTTAATGTATGCTCCATGTTGCTTATTCCTTACATAAATGCTTAGGGGTTTTTATTATACTGTAAGTATGTCTTTTTATTTTATAACATTGAAGTGCACAACTCTATGATTCTACAGAACTTGAGTTTACTCAAAAAGGATCTAAGATGAATTTTATATTAACTTCTAAAGTTCTGCTTATGCAGAACTAGTTATTTTAAATATAATAGTTTTAGATGCATTTGATGTAAAGTGTGTATATGTTTTATTTTACTTTTTTTTTGATAACATGTTGGTGGATCTGTAGAAACTAAGTTTGCTCTAAATGAGTATTTTGTATGCATTTTATAATCCTGTGCATGTTTTATATGTGATTTTTCTTAGATAAATTTTAGAGACAGAAATTGTACTGTGAGTGCAAGTTTTTATGCAATAACACTAAAGATCATGATTTTATGAGTTAACAGTAATTTGAATTACTCTAAAATGAGTTGTTTTCAATTTGTTATGGATTTACAAGTTTACATGTTTTTCTGTTGAAAATATAAAGCTTTAGGCATTTCATTTAGATTTTTCAAGAATTTAAATAGATTGGGTCCACAGGTTAGTCTCAGGCCAATATGCAAAAAGGCCCATAGGGCTTAAGGAAATCAAGCCACAGTCCTAAGTCCATATGTCATTGAGTGGAAACATTACACATTGAACCTTATAGTTGTTTAAATTCTCAAAATGAGGTTCCTGACTTCTTTTTCACACGCATAGGGACAGAGCAGCCATGGCTGAGCTCGATCCCGGGCTCACCGGCGGCGATTGGTGGCTCGGTTGGAGTTGGGGTTAAAAGATAAAATGAAGAGCATGTTCTTGTGAATCCATTTCTCTAGTTTTCTTGGTTAGGGGACATCGGAGTAGCGCCAGCGGCGAGTCCGAGTAGAGGATGTTTTCGGGTGGTGGTGCATGTGCTTCTACAATCATGTATTGGTTAATTGGGTGCATGCATGTATGTTCTATAGGCTGCAGGGTGCTCACCGAGATGCTAGACAAGGCTGGGGTTGTCTGCAGAGCCACAGCGACGGCGAAGCTCCATGGCGGCATGGCACAACTCCAGGGATGACGTCGGCTGCTCGATCTGTAAGGGGAGTCACCAATAAGGTGCATGCAAGATGTCAAAGGCTATCCAGGGAGGCCATGCATGAATGGAATTTGACTGATGCTCACCAGAGAGAATGGATTCGATGATGGAAGCAGTTGAACGGAGTTGGAGAAGACGATGTCGATCTCCAAGATCGCTGCGCCATTGGATGGGTTTCTTGGGGGTAAATGGAGAGGCGGTCGAGGTGAAGCTGGTGGCGTGGTGGCTCGCTCCGGCTCAGTCTAGATCGATGGCAACGACGACGATGCCGCCACGGCGGCGCCCGGTGCGTGCTCCAGAGCATCGCCGGCGAGGTTTGCGTTCCCACCAAACCACTGCATGAAATGGGGTGAAACTTAGAGGGATGGAATCGGCGTGGAGAGGTGATAATGGGACGCAAGAGAAGAGGAAACGACCGCGGCGTAATGGCGCTGGAGGCGGTCGTCGTCTTCACGGTCGGCGGTGAGGTTGAGATGGATAAGGGAGATGGAGCTCTCCTTCTCGGTTTCTTCGGGTTAGGAATGGATAATGGGGTGTGGCGATGCAGCTGGGATGAGGAGAAGGCTAGACTAGGGAGTTTGATGGCGTCGACACGTTGTGGCCACGTATCGTTCACAGCCGGCGCCGATCTCTCTCTCAGTCTCGGCTCTCTGGTCCGTTGGAGGAGATGCACAGGGTGTGGAGCAAGCCAAAGATGCTGCCATGTGGGCCCAGGGCGAAGGGAACAAGGCTGGAGTGAGAGAGGTGGGTAGAAGATGGGGTGTTAAGTGATTTTGGACGAATTTTCAGGATTATTTCTCTCCATCTCACTTTGTAGCTCTATAGTTTAATTTTTGTGTGTGATAAATTCTCGTGGATTTTTCTGGAGGTAGATGAAGTTACCTAGTTTCCATTTTCTTTGGATGCACTTAAAAATTATGGATAGATTACTCACAGAAATTAGAAGAAGAGGGGCTCTTTGGAAATTAGTTTGGATTTTTAGGGGACCTAAACAGAGAAGATAAATTCTGGAAAAATTATATTTATTCATGACAACTAACCTAGTATTTTAATAAATTATTTTCCCTATATACTATCATGCAGTTAAATGCACATTTTAGTTATGTATGGTTTTAGCTGATTAAGAACTATATTTAGCCTATTATTTGACTAGTTTGACTTGTTTATTTAAGGTATCAACTTGAGTGTTAATGTTTGACCAAAATTATAGTGAATAGCTTGTGCTAATCATATTATACATAAATTTTTCCATGATTTTATCTTGCACAAAATATTTTAGATAATCCGCAAGGCTTATCTCTTATATGTGTTTCCCTTTCCTAAATGCATGTAAATGTTTATAAAAGTTTTATTTGGACTCTTCTTAACATGAGGTGATGTTGATATGTTAGAATTACAGTTTACCTTACACAGGTCATAAGCTTCTTACCTATTTATGCATAAGTTTACTTTAGTATTAAATTAAGAGGATGCTTATAGAGATGATTAAGATAGAATATACCCTATATGAGTTAATTTATTTGTTCACTTTCATGTTCATGACATGTCTTCAGATGGATGTCCAAATTAGTTTTGTGGGGCTTGACATTGGCCTTGTTGATATATTTTAAGGTGTATTATGGTTTCTATGTATTATTTTCCATTAGTTAGCACTAAGCTCTAATAGTTTAGTTGTTTGTCTAGATTGTAATTATATTCATGAGACCTATTATGAAATGCAAATCAAAAATCCAAATGCATATGAAGGACTCAAGTCTAAACATGTCCTATGAGGGTATGCATGCTTACACATAGGTTTACATTTTTGTCCTAGGTTAGAGATGCAAAGGTTTTAATTTGTTCTCAAATTTTACTTAGGTTTAAGTTCGATTGACCACACCTAGGTTAAAAATGGAAACTTTTGGCTCTCAAAAATGGAAAAGTTAGCTTCCAACTATTTTGACAGGAAATTTTTAAAGTCTAGAATTTGGGTATGTTACATTGGCTGAGCTCCAGCTCCAGGAGGGGTGGAGCTAGAGCTGGAGCTGTGCCAAACAGGCCCTAAGATTCTTCCATGTGAGATAGTATTTCGTCCCAAAAAATCGGAACGTAATACCTTCCCTCACGTTTCGCAACAAACAGAGAAATTGTATGGCAAGAAACCGTGAACCTTGATCATCCACGATCACAAAACTATCCCATCCTATAGCCACTAATGACGCTCTCTCTCATGTCCCGATCTTCTGATGAGGGAATAACTATCGCTTTAATCGAGTGCGACGTTTGCGACATGGCTACCAACCAGAACAAGTCCAGGATGCCGTGCAATAACTACATCACAAACGATATCGTACCAACCGTGATGTGCGATTGATGATCCCTACAACGCAAACGAGAAAATACTGCAAGAACAAGATAAGATGCAATCTAAAAATGGCGAATAGGTGATTAAGCACAAAGAAATAGTTGCGATTGAAGTGGTAGATGTAATCGACCCAGCAAATCAACACACCAACTATTGGGATCTCTGAATCTATAGTGTCACGTCCCAAAACGACTCTAAAATACATCCTCTAAATTATGCCTAGAATAATTAAAATCTGTGTGAAAGCCTCCAACAATTAAAATGTGCAAAGTTAAAAGTCAAATAAGGCTTGGAGGATTTTTGTATATTTCCTAAAAGCCTAAAATGCGTAAATAAATTTTAGTGGAATTTTCAGAGTACAAATAATAATTATTAAGAAATAAACAAAGTTAAAATGGTTTTATAAAAAGAAAAACTCTAAAAAGTCCCCTTTCCCTCCCTCTCCCTCTTGGGCCGGCTCGGCCCATCTCCCTCCCCCTCCCTCTCCTCTCCCCGCGGGCCATCCGGCCTCTCCCCGCGCCCGCCACTGACGGGCGGGCCCGCCCGCCACCCTCGCTGACGGGTGGGGCCCACCCGTCATCCCCTTCCTCCCGCCGCTCCCGCCGCCTCGCCCGCGCCCTAGCGCCGCCGCCGCCGCGAATCCCGCCACCTCCCGCCGTCTCCGCATGCAATAAAGAGGGGGAAATCACTCCCCGTGATCCCCTCTCCCTTTCCCCCCCATTTTCCCTCCCTCTCTCCCTTGGATTCGTTTGGAAACCCTCCCCTAATCTCGCCGGCGCCATTGATGGAGCCCGAGAACGCCGCGCCGGTTTCCTTCCCCTCCGGCCGCCCTCTCCCCCTTCCAACCCTCGAGTGCGGCTGACGTGTGGGGCCCATGGCGCCGGCCGGTGCGAGCCCGGGTGCACCCGGTCCACCGTGGACCGTGAGGCTGCCGCGTGGGCCCCACTCCCGTGGAACCGGTCCACGCGCCCCCTCCCCTCGGCTGACGCAATAAACCCTTTTAAAATTAAAATTTGAATGAAGAAATTCGCAAATATTCATTTAAAGAGCATATAAACTTCAAATGACCATAACTTGGCCATTTGAACTCGGAATTGGGCCGTTCAAGTCTCTAATTTTTCCTTAAGAAGTCAAGAACCCATTTTTGTGCTTTGTTCCTGCTTGTTATATGGAGTTTATTAGAGTAAAAGCCTTTTCTTTTTGGTTGGTCGTGTAGACGCTGCAGCTTCGGAAGATCCGCTCTTCGTGGAGGTTGAAGCCGATGTTTGGGAAAGCGAGCAAGGCAAGTCACATCATCCTTGAACATATTGAATCCCAGTTTATAAAATTATTTTGATTTAAATTATCGCATTACCGCTTTATTTAAATTCCCGCGTTATCACTGTTTTATTTAGCCATGCCTATTTACCTTTGTTATGACCTTATTATTATTGTTATTGATATTATTACCTTGTTCACCCTAGATTAAACAAAACCCCAACTAGTGGACACTCTACTCATGGTACCACTAGTATGATTTTAGGTAGATGCTTCGCTGGTTAATTAGGCAACATTAGGTGGTTTTACAACTCTAGACCTTGGGGATATTCTCATCACCTGGACACTATGGAATTGTTGGATTATTGTGGAATTGGATTCACACCTCCCCTCTATTCAAAATCCTCAAAATGGTTTTAGGCTGGGATCGGGGTGCATGGTTTTGATAGTAGCACCTCGGCCATATAAGGACCGGTCTTCGGGCCTCTGATGCAAAGCACTACCGTACTTCCACATGTCTAGTGGGTAAGGCTTAGTTCGTGGCTCAGTCTGGTCATAAACAAAAGTACACGGATGGAGATGGACGAAGTCGGGGGTCGATGGACATCTCTAGGACAAATGAAGGCTACACGAGCTGCGGCCCGGTAGTCGAGATGTCATGGCACAGGGCCGGTGTCCTGCTGCTAGGGGCTCAGTCCTGCCTACCTGTCCTGGGGGTTCCGGCCGTAGGTGGGGTTGGGTCGGTACTCTTGTCTATGGCTAGGATGGGTTGGAAACTATGTCACGTCTTCCGTCCGTATACCGTGGTGGTATGTGGCACGTGGTTACACGTGAGGAAGATGTGTCTTGTGGGTAAAGATGTACACCTCTGATCAGAGTATAATCTATTCGAATAGCCGCGCCCTCGGTTATGGGCAAGCCGAGCAATGTACCCAAGTTAGTGTTTTAATTCTTAAAACCTGCTTAACAACTAAAATGTGGAATGGTTGGCCTGGGTTGGCTTGGGACGAGCTGGGACCTAGGGTCGGGTTGCCAGTTCGGTCTAAATCATCGTAGGCCTTGGGTTAAGGCAGGTTCGTGTTGGTTCACGGCCTTGTTTAATAATATTGTATAGCTCTAGGACCGTGTTTACAAAATAGCTTTGAGCAACTAAGTGACTTTTAATGCTGTTTACTGCAAACCCTAACCCTTTATATTATAACTCACTTGTACTCCCTTGCATTTATTCTGCACTTGTGGGTGTGTCTTGTTGAGTACGGTGGTTGTACACAGTCTTGCTCAATTTTTCCCAAACTCAGAAGAGGAGTTCCTGGAAGATGAAGGCTTTGGAGTCTAGCTCGTGCCTGCAGTGCCTGTGGTCATCGCCCTAGTCTTCCGCTGTTTCCCGTTTGTCTTTGTGTGTGCTGGGCCTTCGCCGCCCATGTAATAAATTAACTATTTACGCTTCCGCTTGTTAAACTCTGAACTGTATCAACTTTTGGTGTACCTTGCCTCCTGGGACAAGGAATAATGCACGCACGTAAGGAACGACCGTTGGGTTATTTCCGGTCGTGACAAGTTGGTATCAGAGCCCCCTTAACCCTAGGACGAGCCGTAGATCCCAAGCCTTAGCAATATTTTCAAAATAAAAATCCTTTCTTATTTGTGAAAATCCTTTAGTCTCTCTCCGTCCTGCTGCTTCATTTATCGTCAAAATCTGATCTTTAAAATGTTGCTTTTCTCTTTTGTTTTTGTTTGTAGATGGCCGGCAGCATCAACCGTCGTGGCCTGGACCTGACTGGATTCGTTTTGGAGCTGCGGGGCATGTGCGTTGTCCTGGGGTATCTGCATGGTGTGGACTACCAGGGCAAGCAGCTCCCGGAGCAGGAGGGTGACGATGCAGATCCCCACGCTGCTTGGGAGGTTACTGCAGTGATCCTCACTGGCTCACCCGAGAGGACTTCGTTGGCAGTCACCGCGGGTGGAGATTCCTTCTCCGCCGCTT